TAAACTCCTTGCCCCCCCTTAAAGCTAAGAATAATCATTCTCCCATTTATTTAATTTCTTCTAATAAGTGTCTTATTTCAAATGATTTGCATATTACTTTCAAATTCAGCTTCCTATTAAGCAAATATAATTCACATCAAATATGGTGAATGATTTGCATCACACCAACAGATCCTCTCCATTTCATAATCATCATTATTTTTGCCTTAATATTATTTAATTTAAAATTAATTAAATAATATAACTCTTTGTGTATTTCAACATGCAAAACATGTCAATCTATGTATATGAAATATTAAATTATTAAAATACATTCTAATTGAATCCTTGATTGCCCGCAGTTTAATTATCAAAGATTAAGAAAGTTTAAGATTCTTGATAATTACTCCCTCTGTCCCTAATTACTTGTCCATTTTTCCTTTTATAGTTATCTCTAATTACTTGTCCATTTTGACAAATCAAGAAAGGACAATTTTTTTTACCTATTATACCCTCAATTAAATGACTAATTACTTTGAAAAATCCACTTCATAATTAATAGGGATAAAATGGTAAACTCACTATGTCATTAATTGTTTTTTCAAAAGTGGACAATTAATTAGGGACAGAGGGAATACAATACTAATTAAAAATTATTGTTTAATGACATTCGTGAAGCTGTAAAGTGATTAATTGATGAGGGAAAGTTTTGATTAATTATATAGTTGTGATGGTCTACTAAGGATCTTATAGTGTCTATTCTTTTGGTTACACTAGAACAAGCAAGAAATTGATTTGAAAGAATCTTGTCTAAATTTAACAATGTAACATTCAATAAGTGGCAGTAAAAGGACACAATAAGCGCGATCTTAAATTTTTAGCCTCGCTTGATAATTTTATTTTAAAAAGTAATGTTTATCATTCATCAGACAGTTCTATCGATAATCTGAAAATAAGTTAATTTTGTCTATAATAGAGTTGTGAATATTTCAAGAAGTTACGTATATACTATGAAATAAGGTAATGTGTTGCTTATTGTATTGACTTGTGAACAATTACGTTAACACAAGCAATTTTTGTCTATGAGGCAAAATTTGTGGTTAATTGAGCAGATTTACTATAGTAAAATGTAATGAACTTCTACTTATAACCAAAACTAATTTATATCCATAACTTATGCCCGACGGGCAACAAGAGTCAATTAAAAAAGACAAGATTGTTAAATGGTCGGGGTTAAAAATTCAAGATGGAAGTCGTTCTTGTAAAGTACGTATGTAACAATTCAAAATTCTATTGTTATATGATATATAATGGGATGAATATGATTTCTCAACCCTTAATAATAAAAGTTTTACGTCTGACAACTTTTGAGATTGAAAAAACTCAAATAGAAAATGTTTCTCTCTTAATAATTAGCTCCATATGATACATAAAAAATTCAAATAGAAAACGATGAATTTCGTATACAAATAATTGTTTTCAATTCCAAGAGGAGTAGGTACAAAATAGGTTATAAAATGTAAAATTTGGAAAGCCGAAATAATAGACAAATTAAAGTTGGCTTCCCTTTTTCTTGATTGAAACCCAAGGATGTAAATAAAGTTATCCAGTTTTAATTATTAAGTTGGCAAATTCCCATCACATTTTTTATTTTATATTTTCAAAGAAAAGCACTAAAACTTTTGTTTTTTTTTTAATAATGAAAGTTGCCAAGTTAACTCACCTTACAATTGGACACTAAAATAATCATAACATACATTCTGCCTGGCCATGAATAGTAGCTAGTCGAGACTGGTTCGAACATTGAGAATGAAGAATTTTTTGATATAAAGTATTTTACCTTGTTATAATATGATTAAA